GTCATATTTCATGAACCCTTTGAAGAGTACTGTCACCGGTGTGATCATTCTATAATACACCATTTAAGCCCGGGGGAGAAATGCTAACGCTAGCATCGGCAATCGCCGATCTTTTCTACTTCATGCTATCTGCACAAATGGTTGACATTAAACATTAAAAAGACCAGGCAGTTCAGAGATAATCAAAGGAAGGCAGGCAGCTTTGCATGGCATTCTTCTGGACGTGTTTCATTGTGGTGATAGTGAGGGTAGTCAATCCTTTTGTTGACAAGACAGTAGTGACGGCCATCTTGGTGACGTGTGTTGTTCTGCGAGACCAGAGATGTGGTTCATTGAGCGTTTCACACAAACAAATGTGTTACTTCACAGTTTTACAACACTTTTTTTTTTTTGACTTGCAAAATTATCTTTTAAATTGACAAACATCATATGTGTAATTCGTGGCACAATTCAAACGGGATCGAAAGATAATCTTTCTCTCTCCATTGACTTCAATACATAATTTTTTCGAAATAAGGTCCCATGGAGGTCCACCGGAAGGGGAGGGACTTCGCCACTCTATTTCGGCTGGCCTCCTCTCGCAACAGAGTGCAATCTACTGTTTTACCATAACATCTAGAGGGGCGCTGTTTCACTCTTTGTAAAATACTCAATGAGAATGGGGGAGAGACGGGCCGGCAGCAACACACAACAAAGAATTTTCTAAACTAAACTGTTTTTATTTATTTATTAAAATTATAACTACAATCCGAAAAAACGGCCTGGCTTCCCTTGGCCTCCAGGAGAAAACGCCACTGCTAATTAGAGGGTTATTGAGGAAAAACTCTCAACTAATGGCTTATTACTTGTAGAATATGGTCATGTAGAATAAGGTATTAATACTTGTTTTTGTAATGACTAATAAAGAGCCAAAATACTGCTAATATGCATGTTAATTAACAACTAGTTGATGGTTAATTTGTGTACCCTAATATAAAGTGCTACCTAATGTTTAAAAAGCTAATTTATTCACGGTGATATCATTCTTTCGTTCTTTTTCCACCTCATTCCCCCTGCCACTTTCCTCCCCCGCCTCCCTCCACTGTCCACAGAATGAATGTGTTCCCCTATGCAACAGAAAATAGGTCAGGAATGGATATGCCATATTTAATATTAAAAGGTGGTTCTCTCTTACTTACCGTCACACAAACACACACACACACACACACACACACACACACACACACACACACACACACACACACACACACACACACACACACACACACACACACACACGCTCCCTTGCCACCTCAGTAAGACAAAGAGTCTTTGGCTAAGCATCTCCTGCTTCCCGTCCTATTATCTGTTTTCTAAAACTCAATAATTGAACTGTTCCATTGGAATACATCATCCTGCCCACTACCACAAAGCCCCATTGAATAAACTTCTCTCCCTGGCTATTGTGCTTGAGTGTGACACATTTCCCCCCCTCCTCTATCATATAGGCTCTATATCTAGCATAGTATTTGTCCTAGCGCTAGTAATGACTGCAATTTGCTGCTATTTGGTGTCCTGTGAGAGGCCTGGTAATGGTAGCATTATAATAGTTATCAGACACAGGTTACTATTATCATGCTATGAATCTGCCATAAGCTATTGTGTCCCAACTGTTTACATCAGAGTGACACAGAAAGATGAGGTAAACATTCGGAGGATGAAATGGAGGGTTTTTGTCGGTGTCTAGTTGAGAGTTGTGTTTTTAAAAAGCTTTCTAGGGATGCCACTTTATACATAATAACATCTAAGGAGCATACATACCTACTACAAAAGGGAAAACAAATAAAGGAGATGTCATTGCACAATGTATACAAATTGTGCACACAGACAGTCTTCAAACAGTGTAGTTTTCCTATGAAAGCACCAAGAGACATGGTGTTTGTGTCCTGTGTAGAAACCTAGTAAATGTTGAGTATTTTTCTGTATATGCATAACTTCAAACATACTTATTTAAAGCCAAAATACAATATTTTACTTAACTTAAGAAGTCGTTTTTTTTTGCATTTTTGCTTTGTATGGTTTAATGTGAATGTGAAAACTGCGTCCATAACACGGGAGAAAGTATGTTTCCCTCAATACCAATATTAAAATGGCAGTTTTTTTGTTTAGGAATTAAATTGTAGGAAACAAGCGTCATCCAATCTGATTCAAAGTCGGAGAATCATGAATGTTTGAATGTTATGCGGCAAACTATCAAGCATATTATGAAATATTTCACCTTAAGTGAAACATTTGGCATCCTGGTGGCACAACATGATAAGCAAGGGTCCACCTCTGGGGACCATGAATGTTTTACCAAATATCATGCCAGTCTGTGAAATAGTTATGGATATATTTCAGTCTTTGATAACTTGAACAGACACAAATTAATGAATCGTCACTCTGCAGGAGGGCAGCAGAGCCTGCTACCTGTATTTAAATTAATCTGAGGGAATAACATATTTGATAGCATACAGTGACATGAAATCAAGGTATGCATTTGATTAATCATGCAGCGGTTGTTCAAGCAAAGGACATGAAAAGAGCCTGATTCCCTGTTTGAAGGTTGAGAATTTGAAAAAAAGGCGCATGAAGGAAGAGTTTCCACTTTGAAGGTTCCTACACTGCGGTGCCTGCAGCTGCCATTAGAATTCACCCTCACCACCTTCCAGCTCACCTGGTGTCCCCCCTCCCCTGCGTTATTGATGTCGTACTTCACCTGACTGAGGCTGCTGGAGGTGTGCATGTGTCTGTAAGTGTGTATGTCGTTCAGTGGATTATTTAAGTATTGAATAACTGCCCCATATCAATTGTCTCAAACTCTTAATTTGGTCCACATTGTAACTTTCTCAGGTGTATGCGTGTTCCCCTGAGGCAGTATCCTGTCTGCCAATATGTCTGTCACGAACAAAATCCTTCCCCAAGATGAGATATAACACATGGATGCTGATACACTGCTGCTTTATTGAGATCTAACAGACACAGAGTAGACAGGAGTGTGCACTGGTATGATTTAAGCATTTCAAAAAGCTTTCTTAAGGGATCATTCCTCAACTTTAAAATATTTTACATGGGTGAAAGTCAAGGTAACTCGCTGATGACAGAGTAGACAGATGGTGGGTGGTGAAAATGCAAACAGCAGCAGAAAACACGTTTCATGACAGGTGTACTGTATAGACAACTGTGTGGAAATGGGCTACTTGAATGATTATGTCCTCTCCCTCCCTGATCTCATCTTACTTTGGTTGCAGTTTAAGCAGCAGCTACATTTGGACAGCACTGTTTGATGTCCTTGTTAATACGCAAGTTCTCCAATTTCCCCAGAGATCATTAAAGTTTCATCTTATCTTAGTCATGCAGACTCACAGATGGCAGCCAGTAGAGATTTAGCGGACAAAAGGAGTAACTCTTGATGCTTATCTTGATGGTGTTATGTACAGCACTGTACAATATCATATTCTTTGTAAGAAATTCACACACGGTAAGCAAGCTTAGTCCTTTTTTATAGTCCTATCACAAGAACAGATGTTTGTTAACCCTTTCTAAGTTCATATGTAAAGAAAATATTAAAATAATACATAATCACAGCAAAATCAAAGTGTTATATTTTCAGTGTTGGAGTTGGGAATTTAAATAATGGAGTTGTTTCAACTAATATTAAGTGTCATTCAACTCCAAGATAGTTATTATTCAAAACGAGTTGGTGTTGAAACAGGGAGTCAATTGTTGAATTATCCAAACAACTCTAGAGTGTTGATTTAATTACCAACCCACTCTCTTCAGTCTGCGTACAAATGACACGACTTTACACATTGGAAATGCGTGCAATAGATACGCAGAAGTCCGATGTTGCGTGCATATGATACGCTAACCATTCCCATTGAGTTCTGAGGCCGAGTTTTGCGTGCATATGATACGCCACGTTTCGTGCCTGCACCACTTATTTTTGTCCGGTCGGGTCTTGGTAGACCGGAAGCTTTGTGGTTCATAAAAACATGTTCTTACTCAATACCAAGCCACGATTATTGCTTTTATTTTAAATCGTATAATGTCTGACTTTTGTTGCCGTCTGTGAGGAAAATAAATGGGGCTCAGAGCCTCAGAATACTGAAATCTGTATTTTTTCAATCTTTTTTTCCTTCTAATTTGTTATTCTTTTCTAAATAACACACTGTTATTTACTCACCAATAACACACAATTATCCTTGTTTTTATTTATTCATTTAATTCTATAATCTTGGTCTTTTTAGCCGTTCCTCAGGAACTGAATTTCAAAATAAAGTCACCGGAAACAGACGTAGGCCTATAAGGGACATTTCGACCATCATTGCGATACACACCCACTGAACTGATTACCCAAGATCCTCAGCTTGAAGCTCGGTGATTGAATGTTTTGGCCGCAATGCACGTTGGGATATGGTGTTAATGCGATATGAAATTCGAAAAACATTTCAGAGTTTAGGATGGCCGAAGAGTCGAAGACACTACACTACAAATGAGTGATCAGGAGGCGCAATCTTATTTTTAAAGGGTTTTTACAATAAGTAAAGTAAGTAAGATTTCTGAGAGCTATTTTCATTTTCTATATACCTTTTAGTATTTTAAGCTGCCTGCATGTATCAGTGTTTCCTGATCCACTGGAGAACAATACATACTATATCACAAAGAGATGTTTGTCAGGGGAGGTCATCTTAACCCAAGTGTGTATTTACATGTGTTTAAACCTCTACTCTCCCCCCTCTAGCTAGCCTGGTATGCCGCAGTGTGGAGTTCTAAGCAGCACCTCCAGAGCTGTTTATCTCTGATACAGTAGTCACAGTGGGCTTGTTCCCTCCTAATCTCATATTCCAGGCATAGGACACCTCCGGTAGATCCTGCGTACACCAGGCCTATATGGTATAAGCTGTTTGAAGGTGGTGTGAACAGGGTTTACGTGGAATATTAACCAAGTGTGTATTTCTATGTGTGTGTTTTAATTCCAGGTGACCCGTGTACCGGTGGAGAGCTGTGAGCAGTACAGCTCCTGTGGAACTTGTCTCGGAGCAGGGGACCCTCACTGTGGCTGGTGTGTGCTGCATAACGTGTAAGTGCATATACTGTTTGCTTTGTTGAATTCATTATGTAATTTCATTGGTTAGATTATGTGGGCTCTCTGCAGATAATGTTAAGTTGTGACAAGTAGTATTATGTGGAGCTGCTTTGTGTGTCAACAAAAATTACACAATTTGTGGTCTCTTAAGCCGTTATGTTCAGCAAAAAAAAAAACTTAAAATCACTGTAATCTTATGAATTCATACATGTGTAAAGAAATTACATTTTTTGAATGACAAAGTCAAAGTCGTCGATATTAGAAGTCCTTCCCTCATTCTTTGTTTATGAAAATGGTCATAAATACATTATTTTCTATTACTTTTATGATGGGCTACCAGCTGCCCCCTTGGTGAAATGACATTGTTTTCTGACCCACTCACCAAATGAAATAAATGGGACTTCTACTGATACTCTCTTTCAACAACGATTTCAAATCGGTGCTTACTTTGGTGCACTGTATACATACATAATTTTTCATGGATAACAACGACATACACTAGGTTATATGTGAATAGATATAAATTCACGTGGTTTATACACCATTAATCTTGCATTACATCGTTTAGACTGTGAACTTTGTATATGTTCAGCCAGACAATATACTGTAAATATATAGTAACCCAAATATTTCTAAAGTCTGCATTACCAAATTATTGGCACATAGGTACGTTTGGGTGGGGCTGGCATGATGAGCTATCAGAGTTATTGAGGTGTCAGGTTTTAAACGCCACCATGTACACCTGTGTTAAATTAATTGGATGTTACTAGTCAGCTGATAGCCAACCAGATGAATGAGCCTCTGATGGTGAGGCATGACTGAGCAGCTGGTGCCAATCAGCTAATGCATTGTGATCGCCTGAGCTAACACTATGCCCCATTTTTTGTTTTCTCTGGCTGTGTGCTGGGCTCTATATTTGACTGTTGTACTGAACTATGGTGTGTTTTTGGTTGTCTGCCATAGTGATAGCCTTTTAATAATGTATAAGTGCACTTAATCCACTGTAAACCAGGGCTACATTTTGGTTAAGGCAACCTCACGTTAAGTATACATACATATTGGTTTAATGATGGAGCCAGACTACTGTTCTATCTCTCCCTAATAAAGAGGCTTATGATGGTACCAATGCCAATCTTTCTACAAACAACGTGCAATTTATCTCAACCAATAGTAATGACTAGTGTGGATTTAACATGGCAAGTAAAAGTGAACTAAATACTTGCCTGTAATTCAAACAGTTTTTGAACGGAGTCATGACTATTGTATCTTCCACTCAGATGTTCGAGGAAGGACAGCTGTGAGCGAGCAGAGGAGCCTCAGCGTTTCACCACCAGAGTGGAGCAGTGTGTGCGACTCTCAGTCCAACCTGACACCGTCTCCGTCACCATGTCAGAAGTGCAGGTACAGTGTGTTGATATGTGTCAGGGTGTGTGTTTGTCAAACAGGTAGACGTGGAAGAAAGGAAGATAGACAGCACAAATGAGCAAGATAAATGTGAAATTAGATGTAATGAAGCGTGTTCTTGAGTCATAGCTGGCAGTTCGTCAATCATTTTGAATTGTAAGCTGAAGAGTCACATATATGCACATATTTGAGTCGGACAATTGAAATCTTGCTAATGGCATCACCAATAGTACATTAACTTTATGTTGCCCCTCACCCTCTCCTTTCTGCTTTCCTTCCTCCTCTAGTTGTCACTTCAGGCACAGAATGTGCCCAGTTTGTCTGCTGGAGTGAACTGCTCATTTGAGGACTATGTAGAGACAGAAGGACGCATCTACGGGGGACGGATCTTCTGCCTGTCCCCTTCGACAAAAGAAGTGTTGCCCATCACTCGAGACCAAGGTAAAGAAAAAAATGTCTAAACCTAACCAAATCACATCATGTGCATCGATTGTTGAATTGTATAATTATGGTGTGGGATCACAATAACTGACTTTTACTATGACAATTGTGCTCTGTTGTGGAATCTACCTGTTGCTAAATGTCCATTTTGAGAATGAATTATCATTTTATTATAATCATAGGAGTGTGTAAAATAAATGAATGAATCTACAATTTGTTAAATAACGTGGAGATAAGAGCACATGTCTTTATTTTATGTTATTTTATCATTTATTTTCAGAATCAGAGAAGTTAACTAAATATACTTTTTATTTTGTAAGTTTCAATTGCCCCTTTTTAAAAATCTTTTTTTCCCCTATTTTCACTTTTCATAATTCTTCAGAGTTAATCAGGTACCCCCTTGTTTCTCTTAAGATGTCAAGCGCAATAGCCTTACATTAGCCTGTAAGCTTGAGTTAGCTGAATCCACAAACATGATAAAGATTTTTGTTTTAAATAACTGTAGGACGATGCTGTCATTTAAGACACTAGAAATACACAGTCACAAAAATAAAAACTTTAACTATAGCCTATAGCCAGTTAGCTGGTTAGCTGGTTAGCTGGTAGCAAATACGACATTGTTAAGCTATTGTTCCATGGCGATGTTTATTTTGACTTTGTGTCAATAAACTGCAGCAGTTAGAAAGTTGATTCATAATTACTTTGATATTGTTGTCACTTTAGCTAACTGGCTACATTTGTTAGCATTTAACATTAGGCTATTAATTTCTATCTTTCCGATTGGGGCATCATATACTCGTTGCAGTAAATAAGTTCGGCTAACACAGTTGTGAACTTGGGAGTGCTTTAGGTTCACTGGGTTTCTCGAAGTTGCACATTCTGATTTTGTTATAGTTTTGTCACATTTCAGGCTCTTAACTTTCAAACCTTTGTCTTAGAGAGAAAAAAAGGCAGTGCTTCATTATGTGCTTCTCGGTTGAACAGTTTTGTTTGATGGTGTCCAAAATAGAAAGTTTGCTTCATTCAGCCTGTTCATTCAACTGTGAGAAACACGAGTCAATCTGCTCCTTAAATGCAACCATTTATTTGTGATTATTAACATGAGAAACTGCTGATTCACTAACTTAATGCACAAAACCCATAAATGCATATGGACAGCTGAGCAGCTTCCCTTTTAAAATTCTATTGACTCAGCTCTAGGCTCTGCTTACTCTCCAGCCGTTATATTACGCCTCCAAAATGTCAGCTGTACAAGAACTGACAAGTAACTCTAAAAATGAGGCAGTTAACATTTCCGAATGTATTGCCTGGGCTTGGGCCTGATCCTGGGTTCATGAAACATTTTCCCTATACTGACTTTATAAGATAACATCTGTTGTACTTTATAGAGATATTGGATGACTGTAAAAGAAGAAAAGCAATGGTTACACAGTGTTTTGTGACTCCTTAGGTGATCGACGCATTATAAAGTTGTATCTGAAGTCGAAAGAGACGGGGAAGAAGTTTGCCAGCGTTGACTTTATCTTCTACAACTGCAGCGTCCACCAATCGTAAGTTTTATTATTTTTTTTCTAGGGTAAAAGTTTGTTGCTAAGTGTGCATGAAATGGAATTAGATATGCCCTGCAAGATGCAGACTGGTGGAAAGCAGTGATCAATAGAGTGGGGACTGCGGCCCTTTCTCAAAAGCAGTAGTGCTCAAATATTGGCCTGCAAATGACTCCTGTAACGTAGAGGGCAGCATGCAACCTTTGCTAATTCATTATTCAATGTATTTAAGCTTTTTACAAATCAATTAGTTCATTAAATCTCAAGCAATAAAGGGAGTACTGGTGAGTGAAATAATACATCGATTCTTAACCATGCAGGACCTAGGAGAGCAGCCAAGCTTTCGGATCTTAAAACACGTCAGTCGTGTTTCCTGGAAATGAATTATCCATATTTTAAGCATTGATATACTGATTGGCTTTTCAGCACTGATTTTAAAGGGAGTTGTTGTGCTGTATATGCATGGTTCAGTGTGTTGTATACGACAAATAAGGCTGGATTGAAGAATAGTCCTTTTAAAAATACAATTTGTAGACTCTAACATTGCAAAAGCTATAATATTAAGGGGTTGTTTAATGCTTTTGGGTGTTCCCTTTCCTGTAACGGCATTTGCTATATTTAACCAGAAATAATTGTTTTTTTCTAAAATGAAGTGGCTCTATCTTTAAATGCCAGTGCAGATTTTCAGTTTAACCTCCACAGGAAGAGAAAAGAGGCTGGCAGGACCAGAGTGAGATTGTCCTGACAATAAAAGAAGAATGTGTTCTTAATTGACCTGCCTTGTTAAATAAAGGTTAAATGAAAATGTCATTCCCTAAATGACTCTTGGCTACTGCTCTCTCTCTTCAGTCTCTTCAGGCTGGCACAGACTCACATCTCTCATTTACTGAAGGTATCTGCACTTTGTGTCGATACACCTGCTAAGAAGATGCATCCGTGGCAAACTCAAAGTTAATTTATATTTCTGTTGCCAAGCATATATTGATGACTGCATTACTTATTCTAATGTTTCTATAATTTGGAATATCCCAAAGAAATGATACATGTGGGGCTTTTTTCCTCCTCCTTTCTATCTGTCTTTGATAGAGGAGACATTTGTAAAAAGGAAATGAGTGTCGACATAAGTTAAATCAAAGAGAAATACAGACAAATAGTACCAATAACTAAGAACCTTAGAAACTCTGTTTGCCTGCCTTTTTTTTATAGCATTTTTAATGCATCTCAGAAACAATAAAGATGAAGAAAATAGACCAATAATGCTTTAAGTGATAATATTGCCAAGGAAGTTAATTTTAGACTACATTTTTCCTCTATTAAAAAAGCTGTAAAGGGAAGAACATTGTGAATATTGGCCATAATTCCTGAATTACCAGCAGTACACGCATCTAGTACTAAGGAGTGTGAAGTGCACTTGTTCTGCCTCCATCCTCCCCCCCTGCCTTCCCACCTTCCTCCTGTCTGCCTTTTACTTTCTCGTCTCCAATCCCGACCCTTTTTAGCCCTCCTCCCCCCGTCTCCCTTTTGTTGCCCCTCTCTCGTTCATCAAGCCCCATTTATTGCCTGCGCGCTGCTCTTGGCCCTGAATATATCTGCATAGTAATAGGCTGTTAATTAGCTGTAGCCGGGTGCATGTGTGGAGATGGTCATAATGGAGTGGGCATGTCGAGAGGGCTCACCTGGGCCACTTCTCAGGGCCTCCAGGCATAGTTCAATGGCTTTGATTCATTTTGTATAACAGTGGGAACATGTGTGGAGTTTTCTGTTTGTTCCTTGGGAGTTAAAGAGCCTGCAATGTATTTGTTGTATGTGCTTATGCAATGTTTGTGCAGGCAGGAAGAGTTTTCTTGTTTGTGTGTGAACATGTCTGCCTATTTACTAGCTCTCCCCTGTGCTGCTGTTTAGCTCTTTGATGTTGGCTCCGCTGGCCCCCACAGGACTCCGCGGGACTGTGCCACTACAGTGTAGTTATCACCGCGGCAGCTGTAACCTAAACCAACAAATTATACACCACTCCCCCCTCTCCCATCACCTTTTAGCCCTGAATCGTTGACATCGCCTGTAGGAAGCCGGGCGAAGGAGGCAGTTCAACAGCGGATAATGGAGCTCTCCTCGTGGGCGTGGCAGGCGAGGGGAAGTGTAGCACATGCTCGCAACACACAGACGCACAGACGCAGAAGCCTGGTAGCCTGCAGGCAAGCGCCCAAACTGGCTTGTGTGCGACTTCCCACCGCCTCGCTATGAAGGTGGATGCAGCACCTGCTTCACCAGCCACAAACACACACGAGAGCAGGTGCACTCACAGTCAGGAGAACGCACAGAATTTACAAAATGATACATTTGCATAAAAAAAGAGGTTTGGAATGGTTTCATTAAGCAGGGATGATGGATCTTTTAAACGGAGGAAGAGAAACAAAGTGAAATGAGAGCGCTGAAGGAAAGAGGGCAACAAGGGACGTTCCCCAAGAGCTGGTGAGGTAAAAAGCAAACCGAGGAGGAGGCATGAAGAGGGGAAGACAGATTTAAAGCGTGATATTGCGTCCATTGTGTCAGGAATAATGCGTCCCATACAGCTAAAAGGTTAGCGCCGCAGCCACAGGCCACCATGACCATTACAATATGAAAGGGGAGCAGTGAAAGGAAGCCCTCATGGGAGGGGAGCAGCCCACGCTTGGGCCCCCATGACGGAGTGTCACTTCCAGGCAGACGGTTGGCTTTGGCCCCCTGTTGACTACGTTACCCATTGGCAACTTTTTTGGCATGTTGTTGGAAACAGTTTCTGTTCATTACATCGCCATTAGAGTATTTTTTGGAAACAGTTGTTGGTCCATTTTTCAATTAATGTGACCCAGCTTTAATTAAACTGCGGGTTGAGACCTACTGCTATTGGACATTGCCGTGACAAGTTGCAATAATATGTTATAATGAGTCTTGCTCCCCTGTTGATAATCCAAACCTCTCCTTTGGTTCCCTGTGCTGTATAACTTAATGATGTATGCTTCACTTTAGTGCCGCTCACTTTGGAGCTTTATTGGATAAAACACAAAGACGCTTATTTATAGCTCTCGTAGCACAGCCAGTGTTATCTCTCTTCTAAACACTATCCACATGAGATATATATGGGAGATATGATGTCAAGCCAATCTGAGCTTTTAATCGCAATCACAACAAGCCTATAGTTGCTTAAAGTACTGATTAAGATATTAAAGCTGTACGCCTTGTGCCTCAAAATGGGTCACTGGCCTACTTTACTTGGCTAGACACATGTTGAGTTTTGGTGGGCTTTAGATGCTTCCTAATGAGGAAAGAATCACTGCTTTACCCTTTCATTGAGCAGAGTTAAATGAGCACATTCATATATGTTTGTGCGGAGCGGTTGCTCGCATTTCATCAGCTTTGTTCCATCGATCCAGCCTCGCTAGAACAAAAGCTTGGAAGACGATGAAAGGGCGTTTGACCCGGCTCTGTGGCTGGGCCTTGTTAAATAGCAGGGGATATTATTGACTACATTGCAGCAGCGCAGCCACTTACCCGAGCCAGTCGTCCAGACATTGACAGCCCTACCGTACACGTCAAGTCTCCGCTGCCCAGGCGACCCAGAGGAATGTGACGATGTCAACACAGCCGACAGCTTGTGTGTGTAGGTGCCTTTCAGTCAGCGAGTGTCATGAGCAGTGTGTGGGCACATCGTCCCTGCGAACAAGAAATCGATAAACCCTGGGGTTAATAGTGAGGAGGAACTGTCTCACCAGCTTTGCTAACAAACATCAGAGTGTTAGCATAACCTTAGTCCACCCTTCTTCCCATAGAAATCCTCTGGCATTGATTATAAACTCACACTGCAGTTCAGTGTAGTCTCACCAGCTTAACGGCGACTATATGAAACAGCTATCACTCTGTCACTCCAGCATAGGCGATTTACCAGTTAACCCTCTGAAATCTGAATAAAACCAAGGACATAGGGACAAAGACAGAACACGGATTAGACTGAAATTCAATTTAAAGTCAGTTTCTCTGCCGGCAGGGTGGCATTGTGAGCTGAGCAATTGTCCTTCAGTTTAGAGGACCCGCTTTTAAACTCCCGTGGAGGCTCCTTTATGTCATGCTTTTGCACTGCACTTGTCACAGATCGCTTGTCAGTCAAACAGGGATGTTGGTGTTGTGATTCATTTTTCTTCAAACTGAAAAAGTTTGAATTTGAGCTCTTCCAAATAATAAAGCACTCATTCCTTTTCCAGAAAGAGCCAGATTTTATCTGAAAGAATACAAAAGGAATGTAGACTGAATCACTGCTGTGTTGTATCTGTCACTGATAAGGTAGCAACATCAACATGTGTGTTTAGGCTAATGTTCTGTGAAATGAATGTCCCACTGTGCCCAATATGGCTTTATGGGTTTAGGCATTTTACAGTACAATAATCCATAATGCTGGCTTTCACTTAACATGAAGAGAGACTTGCAAAGGAATGTCATGCAGCTTTTAAACGACCGTGTAGTATTTAGGGGGATTCATTAACAAAAAGAGAATATTAGTTAGCTTAGAATTAGCTCCTTCTATCCACAAATTGCTATGTTGCTCTGCCAATTTGTTGCCATTTTTAACAGATGAATTTAACACTTAACTGAACTGCATAAAGACGGGCATTTCTCCTTTTATCGTTACTTGAAAGCCACTGACATGCCTGTGGAACTGCGTTAACGCCCGCCGCGACCTGCATTTCACTGCTCCTGTATTAGTGTTATGGCAGAAGCAAGGTGGAAATTGAAGATCTCTTGGCATTACCTTGGTTTTGCTCTCTGTGGCACACGTTACGGCAGTGTGAGGCCTGAGCTGACTTCACATTTAACAATGATGCAAAAGAGTTACCAAGTACATTAAGAATCACGGCAAGAGACCCTGAAGAGTCTGGTTTGTCTGGCAGTGGCTCAGTCAGTAGGGGCTTCGACTGGGAGCTGTAGGGTCGCCGGTTCAAGTCCCCGAACAGACCTAAAATATGGAGTGTGGACTGCTACTTGGAGTGGCAGTTGCCATGGTGCCCTTGAGCAATGCACGGGACACCCCCCACTCCCATTGCTCCCCAGGTGCTGTGCAATAGCTGCCCACTGCTCCTAGTACTAGGATGGGTTAAATGCAGAGGCCACATTTCACTGTGTGTGCTGTGTGCATGTATGTGTAACCATTAAAGAGGGTTTCAGGGTTCCATCCTTGCTGTTTCCCTCTAATTCATGCTAAGCTAGGCTATTAGTTACATATTTAGTGTATAGGCATTAGAGTCTACTCATCTAACTACAGAAACAGATTTGTCACAAAATGTCAGCTAAGAGCTTCAGCAGAACGAATCAAAACGACATACTGTATAGCAACGAAGCTACACTAAGCAACATAAATATGGGCACCAATAACTGGATGATGGAAACATACAAAGGACCTTATCGGTTCCTAGTCAGTCAGGGTAGATGTTATTTGAAGGGCAGAGACAGTGGGTGTGTGTGGGTTGAGTTTTAGGATGCCTGATTGAGTACAGTGACAGCATATAAGAGAGGGGACTGACGTAACGTGTAATTAGAGCTTGACGCTCTGAAGCCAGTTAAGTGAAATGTAGTTCAGAGGTGTGTAAAGATGACAGAGCCAGGACTTGTTTGAGGTGAACGAGAACGTCAGGGTTTTACAAAGTTACTGAACGTCAACTTGTGTCAGTCTCTGTAATTATACAACTTTTGACTTGTTGCGACAGTAAGTGGTTTCTCAGCTATCCAAGAAATGTCAAGAATGTGAGAATGAGAAGAAAAACAAGTGAGATTTAACACAGCACAGATGTAATTATGTATGAGTAGTCTTTTATATATAAACTAGGAATTGACACATAACGTTGTTTGAAAATATGTATATCTCCTGTTCCATAATGAGAACCAAGCTTTGCTATTGGAATAACTATTTTAACTATACTCAGAATGAATGTTAAGTGAAATCCTAAACTAACCTTTCTTTAATTGTACAACTTCCCTCGCATTTCTTTTTTGATAGCCTTGTTTTGGTAATCCATGTTTGAATATGCATATATTCATATTGCTTCCTCAACTCTAAAAAAGTGTTATATAAAACCAGGCTTATCTTGGTCTGCCAGCTTAGTTCACTGTAAGCCTCAAAGCATGGAGAATAAGGAGGGAGGAGTGGATCGCCAAGGATTCTCTCTCCCTCTCTGCCTGGCTGACAGCTGGAATAAAGTCTTAATGCACGGGGACACGGTGATACGCGTCATTCCAATGTGATTTCTGGAGTTTTGGCCGTAACCATTTGATGCTGTGCAAAAGTGTTGATACACGTCCACGCTAGGCCTGTCATAACATAATGTGCATCCTCCATAACAGTTGTTCTTGGCGGAAACTCTCCTATCCTACAGTATGAGATGTGTGTGGAATTGAAGTCTCTTTTGCTTGGTAATGGTTGTAGCTGGCAGTGGTGTTTTTATGCTTATTGAAAATAAGAAAATATAAACACTGACATTCCTTCAAAATGTCTGTTTTTGTCTCCTACTGTAAATGCTTTTAGATGCAGCTTTTTGAAATATATTGAGTCATTGTTTTGTATGTATTAACTGTCTTTTGGATTACAATGTGAGCATTGGACAGGCAACTGGCAAAATTGGACTTTTTCTAAATTTAATTTGTGTTTATTCTTGGACAGATACTTGTGTTTTTAGTCCAACAACTTGTATACATGTGAAGTTGTCTAATTGTGACAAAGACACCTGTAAAAACGTGTCAGTGCTACACAACACATGTTTTACTTTGTAACTGTTTCTAAATTACCTTAGATGTCTATTTCTACCTAGCATTTCTCTACACCTATAGTTAGCATGAGCAGCAAAACACTGTTAGCTTATCAAGTAACCGAAAGAAAAAAAAAGCAGTGTAAACTCCTTTAAAGAACATTTTAGGAAAAATAAGTGACACTGCTAAATTATGACCGTATTTCACATGTTCCACAAATGTTTTCATATTATTGCTTTACCCCCAGGTGCCTCTCCTGCGTTAACGGAAACTTTCCCTGTCACTGGTGCAAATATCGCCACATGTGCACACAGGACGCCAGCGACTGCTCTTTCCAGGAGGGACGAGTCAACACCTCTAAGGTAAGGAAAACACACACTCACACACACATAGAAGTGCAGACATGCAAGTCAACACGTGATACATTTACAAATATGAATGCATTTGCACACATGTGGTATAGTCGCATAGTAATTCCAAGGGTGCAGCTGGTGTGTGTGTGTGTGTGTGTGTGTGTGTGTGTGTGTGTGTGTGTGTGTGTGTGTGTGTGTGTGTGTGTGTGTGTGTGTGTGTGTGTGTGTGTGTGTGTGTGTGTGTGTGTGTGTGTGTGTGTGTGTGTGTGTGTGTGTGTGGTGTGTGTGTGTGTGTGTGTGTGTGTGTGTGTGTGTGTGTGTGTGTGTGTGTGTGTGTGTGTGTGTGTGTGTGTGTGTTGCTGTGAGTGGCCCAGCAGCAGATGTTGTACTCCAAGCAGCGCTGGATTTATTCACTTATAAACAAGTCGGGGTGAATGAGTATGCAAATGGCGGCGCGCGCTACCGTCCCAAATGTTACATTTGCATGAAAACCCTCATCTACGCACACACCGACTCGCTCTCAAAGTCCCTCTGTCTTCCTCTGTAATTCTCACCGTCTCTCACACAAACACAGAAACTCACGCTGACAAACACAATTGAACTTTTGTGTCTTTGGAAATGTGCACTTAACACCAAACCGCCTTCACTCTAGCACATTCTAAAATCACTTTTACGTGTATACAAGACAATAGAAGACTTTGTGAGATGTTTTTTCTTTCATTTCTCAGAGGAACATTTCATGTGTGGACTCAAATTCTAGCTGTCCTCCTTTCTCCTCTCTCACTCAGTCTTTAATTGCATGTACTTTCTTTCCCTCAGTCTTTCATCGTTTCCATCTTTCACTGCAGACAAACCAAACACAAATGTGTTTGTATATTTTAGGAGTTTGCTCTGTTCTTGGTTCTTGGTACATGTAGCCCTGTAAATATGATGTCCTTTTGTGTTCTGTTGTTTTATGTTCATGTTGTAACCTACTTGCTGCCATGTTGGACAGGTCTCCCTTGAAAAAGAGATCGATGATCTCAATGGGACCATCTGGTTAAATAAAGGTTAAATCTCGGTAGATTTCGTCAGTCTCACGACGGTATTGAGACATCTATTTACCGCGATATTCGATATATCGTTACATCCCTAGTATGGACTCATCAAAGGACGAGTACAGCTACTCATGGACCAACAGCTTGAAACTGTGCACAATCTAAACATTCATGGTGTAGTTAGTAGAAGAAGAAAGAAAATGCTTCCTATAGCACCACAAGACAAGTCCCATCAAATTCCCTTATATTGCACAGACGTCTCTACGGCCAATCTCCTCCACTAGGAGACTCACAACAAAATGTTATAACTGTATAAGTAGCACCACATATGAGAGGCAACACGGAATGTATTTTTGATTTTGAAGCGAACTGTCCCTTTAATATATACTCGGTTGAGGTAGTGAGGTATATTTGTTATGGGGTGTCTTTTTAAATTGGGCAATTTCAGGGCATTTTGTGTGTGTGTGTGTGTGTGTGAGAAATGCAGATGACACTTGACTCGGAACACCCTGTCATCACACGTCCTATAAACACAGCAGGCTGACATCCATCTTCATCTTGTTTGGAGAACCACACCAATTCAGCCATCTTTTTCCAATCTATTATCTCTACTGATGTACTCATTTTGGTTCAGGCGTTGCCATGGTTACCAAGACACTTTCAATGTCAGGGGGGTATATACACACAAATATCCCCAAATCTTAACATGGGTTATTTTTTATGAAAAAATAGCTTGTTTTATAGATGCATATGTTGTTGATGTGTCTCACTCAAATTGAATGGGTAACATTTTTGAAGGAGTACATATGCGCCATGTGAGCCAGCAGCAGCAGTATTGTCAGCACACATTTATCTCCTCCAGCCTTGATTTTGTTCCAATTTGCCAGTTCGTAGCCCCTGCTGAAAGCAATATTGCCCATCTCCGCTGCCTGAAAAAAGTTTCCCCCTGCGTCATTAGCATTTGGTTTCCAAAGTGATTGAATTCACACTACAATGGTTATCTTCCCAATGGTATTAGTCATATTCCTGAAGCTGACTTCACTTCATATCTGATAAAACTCATGGCATCTGTAAATCTGTGCCACAGGTACATACTAGGGGTGTAACGGTATCCGTATTCGTCCCGTACCGTCACGGTTCAGGCGTCACGGTTCGGCACACGCAGTCACACGACGAATACGCCTTTTTTTTTTACCAGTGGGAAAAAAGTCTGTCATTCAGGGCAGTATCCACTACACCAGGGATCACCAACTACATTTGTCCAAGGGCCAAAATGTATCCAATAGACACTATCGCGGGCCAGCGATTTTTATATAGCCCAGAATTTTGAAGTTGTTGACCGGGGGGGGGGGGACACACCCCGCATAAAGCTTAGCAGACTCTTCACGCTAACGAAGGATCACTTCTCGGCAGGGTTACTTTGTAAATGTAATCAGTTACTGAATACAGAATACATGCTCTGAAAGTAATCAGAATACAGTTACAGTTACGTGTCTTAAAAAAACGTATTCAGATTACTTTTAGAATACTTTCTTTTCCATAACAGATGGGTATGTTTTGGGGAACAGGAGACACTTGTTTTATTGTTTTAATGGATTATCAAGAACTCAAACACAACATCTTGGTGTCATTCTGAACAGCTCTCTCATTTGCACCCCACATAAAAAACATCACCCGGACTGCATTCTTTGTACTGTTGTTACGTTCCCTTCTAGATCTAGGGGGTACAAAGGGAAGTAACAACACACCAGGATGACCAAGCACGACAAAAAGGGAGAGAAAACCGATCTCTGAGTAACGATCCAGTCGTTTAATGATCAATCAGGAACACGGCTCACCAGCCAACTTGCAAAACAACTCTTGCTACAAATATATATATATTGGAGACATGGACACTACGCTGCACACATCCAGCCCGGGGAGAAGGGAGAGAGAGACTGCAGCTTTTCCCAGGTCCTTTATGGAGGCCCTGATTAGTGATTGGGAGCACCTGAGGAGAAGCTGCACCTGGAGACAATATAGAGGGAGAGAGAGAAACACACATACACGACCACACAAACACTACGGCACGTAACACTTCCCCCCATAAAACCAAACCAGTGTTTGGTCACAGTTACCAACAACACTCATTACATATTTCACAAGCATGCTTGGAAGCTGCCACCTGCTGCTTCCAAGCCACACACTCCGCCACTAAATAACCAGGGTCAAGACAATAAAAACACAATCGCTTAGTGTCGGGACCTGGGAGAGAAACAGAATGAGCACGTGTGACACGTCTGTTACGAGCCCTACAGTGAGGATATTTGCCCTGAGGATACACCTTACCCCCAGCTATATCATTACCCATTATGACATCCACACCGTCGACAGGAAATTTGGGGAGCACAGCAACTGGAAAGTAACCAGTAGCCAGTTCAGACTGGACATGGACATTGTGAAGAGGTGCAGGCACAAAACCCATTTCAATACCTCTTACCACCATATTCGCATCACAGGCAGACTCATTACTCAAGGGCAGAGCACTCGCAAGAATGAACGACTGTGAGCCACCACTGTCTCGTAACACAGTAACCTGCCGCTGATCCTCCACCTTCCCTGATAGAGAGACAAAAGCCGTGGAGATGAATGGCTTAAAACACTCATCAGGGCCCATTTTAACAGTGGCCTGCCTACTAGGACACACTGTTTTAAATCAGGCCCACCCCTTTTGGGTGCTTGCCACCTGCTGCCCGCTCTCGCTTCCAAGCTGCACAGTCTGCTATCATATGACCTGGGTCAAGACAAAAATAACAAGCCCTGTTTATCCTGGGACTTAACACTGGAACACTGGCACAGGGAACGTAATGGTCAGGAGCTCTCCGATAAGTGTCCCGCTGAGGAGGATCACGCTCTTGTGTATCAGCGCAAACTCGTCTGCCAGAGTGGCAGCCTGCTGAAGGGTAGTCACTTTCTGCTCATTCAGATAGACTACCGTACGCTCCGGTACACAGTTTTTAAACTCCTCCAACATCATCAGCTCACACACTAAAGCAATGTCATCCGCTTTACACGCTCTACACCACCTGTCAAAGAGGACTTTCTTCTCCCTCGCGAAGTCCACGTACGTTTGGCCCGAAGTTTTCTTCAGGCCGCGAAAACGCTGCCTGTAGGCCTCAGGCACAAGCTCATATGCCCTGAGAATAGCACCTTTCACATTGTCATACACCAAACTATCCTCGCCTGAAAGAGAAGAGCAAGCCTCTTGAGCCTTGCCGACTAGCTTGCACTGTAAAAGAATAGCCCACACATTTTCTGGCCAGTGCAGAGCAGCAGCAATGCGCTCAAATGCACCAAAATTGACTTCCACCTCTGATTCACGAAACACAGGGACCAAAGAAATATGCCTGCTCACGTCAAAGGAAGCAGCAGGACCAGAAGGTGTAACTGCGGGATCACCCACCACAGCTGCTTGGAGCTCTAGCTGACGCATCCGGACAGCAGTGTCTGCCTCCAGCTCCTGCTTCCTGATCTCCAGCTCCAGCTCCTGCTTCCTGATCTCCAGCTCCAGCTCCTGCTTCCTGATCTCCAGCTCCTGCTCCTGCTTCCTGATCTCCAGCTCCCTCCTGAGCTGAAAATCCCTATCTCGCTCCTCCCTCTCACACTGGAGACGAGCCATACGGACTTTTACCCTAGCATCTAATTTAGACCCCGTAGGTGAGGATCCTGCCGAGAACGAGCCAAATTGAGGTGTGGTGAAAATATTTGCCTGTTCCGTAGCACTCTGAACCATCGTGCCAGGAGATTCCACTAAAGTAGGCCGCCTCAAAACCCCTTGTTCAACTAGTCCAGTTATCAAAGTAGCCTTGAGTTCACTTTTTACCAGAGCAGAGGAGACAGAAACGTGATAATGGTCAGCAACTAACCGCAAATCAACCTTCCTATAGCAGTCTAGCTGCCCCACAGTAGGACTGGCCACAAACTGCTCCAAAA